ACTGGGATGTGGTATAAGTGACTGGCTGCAATATGGAGTGACTGGGGACAGTGAATGGCTACATTATGTGAGTACAAGAATTGGCTGTAGCAAGAAAGGCCAAGTAGGAATTTGCTGCCAAATAGGGGCAAAGACAGGGACTGGCTAAATTATAGGGGTTATGAATGAGTTATCAGGGTGCTATCAATAAATTTGTAGGGTGCTTTCCAAATGATGAAAGAAATGTATTGGTGCTGTCAATAAGATATGTTGGAGGAGTGTAATGGGGTCTTTGGGGGTGTTAAGTGAATGGTTTGGAAAGTGAGATCTGAGCTGTCATTCAGTGAGTATTTGAAGGGACAACTACCTACATATGATAAAACCAGAAGGGCGTAGTGAGTGCTCATACAAATCAGCCATACCCTAAATGGTTTAAGAGGAAGTTGTAGAATGAAGATTAGTTTATAACTCTCAGGGAAATGAATGAACACACATTTGATGAGTGAAGATTGGAGGTGATGATACAATTGACATTATTTTTTGGCCCAAATGACCATTATTGTTCGCTGTAATCTACATATTTTTATTTGGTCTAGGATAGTAGACTGTGTTCTACCTTATACATTTTGTTATTGTATATGATTTTAAAATACATATTATTATTTAAACCATATCACTGCAGTTTAAATATGAAAGAAATAACATTTATTTTCACTCTTGGTACTTGAATAAACAGAGGTTAGTTGAGGTCAACTGGCTGTGTGCTATTACAATTAAATCTATCAGTTATTCATTAAACTGAAAATAGACCTGAATTGAAAAATTTATCTTCCGAACTCTGCTACTTTGGCCTGATCGTTTCATTTCCCATGTCCATTTAAGTGAATAAACTTTTAACTAATCTCATGCTGGCTGAGTGATTAGAGGTCAGGTTCAGACAAGGTTAAACACTAAACCGAGAATTCTTGAAAATTGCAGATTTTCACCTGAGCTGGTAAATGTTTCAATTTCTTAAATTGTGGAATAAAATCTATAATTCCTGTTGGTGAGAAATGAACTATATTATTGTCACGATTAAGCAAATGTGTCAGCTTTTTCATAATAAAGATTTATTTAATATTGTTATTTAATTATATAATCAAAATACCACAAATCCCTGAGAATAATTTTCACAATAACCATTTCCTAACATCAGGACAGGAATGGTTAATGGCAGCGATGGTACTCATTTTGTTCTGTTTAATGCAGTCTTAATGTGAATGCTGTGGTTCTTTCATTTGCTCCCTTTTCATTAGCAAGAGGTAGTCAAATAAAATTTTTGAGGGGGTGGCTATGTTGATGGTATAACTCAAATCCTTTATTTAATCAACATTATCTCTATGGACACAGTTACAGGGAAGTAAAAAAGAAGCAAACAATGTCCACAAAATGAAATTACTGTTTTGCCATTATTGTTGTGAATATTGGGGGGGGAGGAGGGGAGAGAGGGGGTTTTGTTTTGTTTTTTTCAGTTCTGGCTTTTTAGAATTTGGTTTGAATACTCCTAGATGTAGATGTCTATACACAAGTTCCATGACACCCTGTAAATGGAAAATTATACATTGAGTAAAAAGCAACAGAGTGGGAATTGGTGGAAATAGTGCAGTGTGACCCTTTAATAGAAAGCGAGAGGCAGCTTTGTGAAATAGAAGTTACTATCGGAGGCCATGGACTATTCTAAAGAGATGGGTTTTGAGGGACTTGTTAAAGGGACACTGTAGGCACCCAGATCACTTCAGCTCAGTGCAATGTCACTTAATCCTGCAATAGTAATTATTGCAGTTATTGAGAAACTGCAATAATTATTATCCAGGGTTAACTCCACCTCTAGTGGAGGTCTACCAGACAGCCACTAGAGGGACTTCTTGTTTATAAATGGACCTTTGGTCCGGTATCTGACGCTGCACGTCCTCACGTTCTCCATTAATACCTCCAGCGTCAGATTTCCCCCCCCTAAAGGAAAGCATTGAATAATGCGTTCCTATGGGGAAATCCTAATGTGAGCGCGGTCATTGCTGCGCATGCGCATTAGGTCTCCCCTGTTGGCGTGGGTGGAGCCTGACCCAGCGCCGAGGGATATCGGCTCTGGATGCAGGTAAGTGACTGAAGGGGTTTTAACCCCTTCAGCCCCTATGGAGGGGGGCATTGTAGGATTCTATAGTGCCAGGAAAAATGGGTTTGTTTTCCTGGCACTATAGAATCCCTTTAACTGCTTGAAAACTAGGGGAGAGTCTGATGGAGTAGGCAGGCTGTTTCAAACTTAATGGAGTTGAGGAAGAGCTGTGGGGAGTGGGCACAGCACTAAATTCATAGAAAGCGATTGATTGCAGCATCCACACATCACTTTATATAGATGGACAGCACATGATGACCGCAGTGTGTATGATTAATATCCTGCATTTATGTAATGGTTTATTTCTGGCGTGTATGAATTCTACCTACCAAAGGGAAACTTTTCATGTGCAGACCGTCAACATGGAGGCTTGGTGGAGAATATACTTTATGTGAAGGCGTGATGTAATGTACCCTGTCCGACCCTATAATAGAGTCGAAGGTGTAACCGTGTGGCTGATAAAGAAACAAGGAGGGTAAAACACGCAATAGAATATTGTACTGGAAGACACTGACTATTGGAAAGTGAATGGGTGTTTATGGGGAAAGCGTCCATAAAGTATAGCATGGGTTAGACCAGGCCTGAAAGCTGGCTTCCTTCTAACTGATGTTAGTAGTCAGTTCCCATTATCCTTGGTCAAGCAGTGTGTGTCTTTGGCTTTCAAACAGTTACACCATATAAGCTTAGGATGTCGTGTAAAGTGGTTATAGCAGTTTTTATTTAGGTTTATATTTGTTGCTCACGTTATGATCTCATTTGCCTGGTTTTGGGATGGCTATAAAATGTTTTATGTGTTTTGTTATTGTGCATGTTTCTAGATCCACGGTCAAATCGCTATTAGTTTGTAAGAAATGCAGGGAATTCCACGGAGCTGAAAGGAAACATCAGGATATTGTGTGCCAAATTCTGTGCCAGGCAGAGGTATCTAGTAAAGGCATCAGAACTCTGTACTCTGTTTTCATGGCTGTGTTACACAGTAACTTTCCAGCCAGCGAGGCATGGAGAGGTGGACCTCATGTTGTGGGTTTAACACACTGCTTCCCTTTGGGTTTTACTACATTAGTTGAGATGGACAGGAGGGAATGTATGGTATAACCACATGCTTGGTGATCTGCATTTATGGGATATTAAGGAGCTGTGCTTTGTGAGCAGGATTGGAGTTGTTACAACGGAATCCCCCCCGCTGGTTGGTTTTTGTGGCCATGTGATGTCTGAGCCCCTGTGGAATGCACTTTCCCCGCTGGCTTTTCTGAGCCTTTTCTGCCCCCCTGAGGCCTCTATGCCAATGTGTCTCTCCTTTTGCCTTTTTAAAAAATTTATCTTTTTTTTTAATCTATTACCCAATTTTTTAGTTTTTAACTACAATCCCTACCTGTGCCCCAGTAATCGGTCTGCTTCTATAACCCTTACATCGCTCTTTCTTGTTGTTGCTCTTTGGACTCCTCACCTAGGAGTACGAGACCTGAATCCAGGCCTCATTAGATCTCTGTTAGGCGTTCTGCCCCAACCTATGTAATGTACTAGAGCACGGTCTCAAATTAGGAAGTAGTACATACCTAGAATAACCTAAATCATTTTATAGCCATCCCCAAACCAGGCTGTTAGCAGCTGACAAATTCTCATTATTACACTAAAACAGAGCCTGAGCTAAGGCAGATTTGACAGATTGTATCTGCTTCATGTTGAATTGCCAGAGATTGGAAGATAATGCCTATAAAAGCAATTTTACACATAAATGTTCCAAATAAAAATAGACCTGTTACGGCATAAACAACCAGACTACAGAGAGAGGAGGTTTATTCCGCCTGTCTGGAACCTGCAACGCTTTGACCCAACCTCACGTTCTTTGTCCAGATAAACCCTAAGGTTGGGTCGAAACATTGCCTGTTCCACAAAGATGCAATAAATCTGACATTTTCTTTGGTGTTGCAGCTCCTTATTGTTTTTTTATACTGTTTGTTTGTGACCTTTTGAGATTTGCACCCACATTTCTAGTGCAGGGGCTATGTGTGTAGCTTGTCTGAGACCTGCTGCAATGCAGCTTTCTTTCCAAATCTACTATATGTGATGTGGGCAGCAGTACGTGGGTCAACGCAATGAGATACATTATGGAATCCCCAGGGTGCCCGGAGATAATTTATAGTATGGATATCTTAGAGGACCATTATCCATTTCTGTGCTTGACCCCACATACCGGCCCCCCCAACCAGGCCTGCTGTACAAAATCTGCATACTCCGTGTCCACTAGGTTCTTATACCCATCCATTAGTGCAATCTACACAGTCAGAGTGTTTTCTCACTGGTACTGCACAGGAATTATAGACCATGTAAATTGACCCATACCATAATACAATAGTAAAAACGTCATAATAGTATAACAATGCCCCCCACCCCCGAACACAGACTGGTGGTCCTCCTCCTCCATTCTGAAAGCTTGTGAGCTAAAATGCTGGATTGACCCACCATGTGCGTTCTAAACTTCACTCCCAATTTTTGCATCTTTGATAGAATCGGAGTTTACAATTCTGTTGCTGCACAGAGGTGTAAACACAGATATGGCCTTAGCAGATGTTTTACACTAATCACATCTCCTTGCTTTCTGACCGCTGGGTTGGGAGAGAGGTTCTTTTGTATATTCTAAAATGAAATCTAGTAAAATAATGTTGTGTAATGATAGTCTGCATTCTTGATGTCGGCATCCGCATTATTTGTGATGTCATATTGTACGTTGCTGGTAATGATGCGATCAGGGTTAATTACTAATGTGTGAATATTAAGCAATTTAAAACTTTAGGCTAATATTGTAAATATTTACATATTCAGTTATATTTGCGGTTTGGCTACTTTGGCCTTAAATTTTTAGTTCATTTTGAATTTGCAAAGATTAACACTATAGCGATTCGTCCTTAATTTGTGTTTGGTGCCTAATTGTATATGGACGTGTTCTAAAGAGCAATTGTGTCTGTGGGTTCAGTTTCAACCTCTGGAAAATGTGTTCTGCCTCAATGTCTCATGTTCCTTTCCAGGCTTTCTAGTTTTACAAAGCTTTCTCTTTCTGTCTTTTAAACTGCCTCTCAGCCGGACCCCGCGCTTGGCTCCCTGTCTGCGTCCCGGCCGGGCCCCGCGCCTGGCTCCCTGGCTGCGTCCCGGCCGGGCCCCGCGCCTGGCTCCCTGGCTGCGTCCCGGCCGGGCCCCGCGCCTGGCTGCGTCCCGGCCGGGCCCCGCGCCTGGCTCACTCTTACTGCGTCCCTAAGACCTGTGACACTCCCTCTCTCTCCCTGCTTTGTGTTCAGTGTGTTTCACCTGTGTATTTGAATTCCTCCTCCACCTGCAGTGTAAATGACATACCTCTTAAGTACAGTGAGGATGTGGCCTGTATCTTTGCCGCAGACCTCCCACCTGCTCATGTTACAGGCAATGAGAGTCCTGCTGAAATGTTGTCCTAGAAACCACTGAACATGAGCTTTCTAATAATGCCTATAGGAAACCTGTTATGAGTCTGCTTCCTGGAGTTATAGTTCCCTCTGTACAGCAGGGGGCGCACTATGGGGGTTATGTATACATAATGGCCCTACATCTAACAGTAAACATGTTTCGTATGCTCATTTCAGCCTTTACTTCTGATGGTCTATATGAAGATGATTTACAGGAGTTTATGCCATGTAAACACTTTAATACCTAATCCTATGTGTCTATTCCTGTCACCAGGAATAAACACTTCTGCAGTGAAACATTATTCTCATAATTCAGCGCTCCAGCGTTGGTCCCCCGAAGGTTGGATTCAGTCCTACAGCTTTTACCTGCATCATTTACTGTTTCAAACACTGGCAACATCTCATATCTTATCTTTTAGTTTTAATCTACACGTTGTCTTTAATCAATGTCTTACTGTGCCAGTGAGTAGTATGGACACATCTGTTAAACAATTTTCACACACACATACACAATATCCTTAATTTAAAAATAAACTAAAACGCTTTCAACATTTTATATATCTCCATACTGTTAGTGCAGGGTGAAATAAATATAAAAAAAATCGTATTCCTAAGACTTGGACCACTCTTTCAGCTGTAAAAATGCAAACTAGATTAGAGGAAGATTGTTCATATACCATGTAGATATGTTAATAAAAGATGCACAGTATCACACAGCTTACTGTACTTCTCATACAGGCAGACTTTGTTTGTTGCAAGTATGCCTGAGAGTCATGGTCAGACAAAGAATTATGGGAAAAGTAGTTCTACATATGAGGAATTACCCCAGTCCTTTCCTAATCTACAGCCAGAGGGATTTCTGAGTAAATCTTTATTTGGAATAAACCCAGTAAGACAGCATTCTCGTCAGTGTTTACATTCTGTATTTATGGGTTTTGGAAGCATAAACACAGTATAAATTTCAGGCAGCAGAATCCTTACGGTCTCTAAGGTGATTTAGAAATGACCTTGTGTTGTAAATAAATCTGTCATCGTGTAGCCTCAAATCGACCCATGTGGCATGAGGTATTCAAGTCTACTGCAAGTGGCACAGCATAATATGGTATGTGATGAAATGTAGATTATACAAAGCACCAGCATAGATACAACTCACTGCAAATGGTATCCTCTGCTAAGAAATGAATAGTATCTGTTGCATTGCCCATTGTGTACATGTATTTTCCTGGATGTGTTGCTGAAGTGCTTGCTTCCTTGCTGTAGGATGGAGGGATACATATGCCTGTCTACCCAAGTTACCCACCTAATTTCCACCCAAGGGAGTGCAGAGTGATTGTGCTGGCAGGATACACCCCACACCAGTTAATGAATGCTTGTACTAATGTTTTCTGGAGAGAACTCTCTCTCATTTGTTGCTTATTTTGGTTTTTCTTTATATGCAGAGAATGCCGGCCCCTATCAGACTGCGGGAGCTGATCCGGACTATCCGGACAGCACGCACACAGGCAGAGGAACGGGAGATGATCCAGAAAGAATGCGCAGCCATCCGCTCGTCCTTCCGTGAAGAAGATAATACGTATCGCTGCCGCAATGTGGCTAAGCTGCTTTACATGCACATGTTGGGATATCCTGCTCACTTTGGACAGGTACATACACTTCCCACAGCTTGATGTTTCATTTCCTACACTGTTCCCAGAAGCCAACACACAGAGTTCAGGTGTTTACTGATGGAGATCAGCCGGGAGTGTCTGACAACTGTTCATCACTGATACAGCGGCAGTCACCAATTAAAGTTATTTTCTTATCCGAAATGTTTCTTTAGACATAATGTGCCCAGTACTTTCAGCAGTTTTGTTGTAAGTTTCTGGAGTACGATTTGTGTTGGTACAGTTTTCTCTGGCCATTTATTGTTGATGGTTAAGTGCTGGATAGCTGTGTGTATATGTTAATTCTGTTTAGATTGTCACAATATAGAGCCCTCTGGTGTGTGTCTGGAAGCCACTATTTACAGAGATCTCCTAATACATTTGAGGTTTTTGTTCCCCCCCCCAGTTGGAATGCCTGAAGCTTATTGCTTCTCAGAAGTTCACAGATAAGCGGATTGGGTATCTTGGTGCAATGCTTCTGTTGGATGAACGACAAGATGTCCATCTACTGATGACTAACTGCATCAAGAAGTAAGAAACATTTGCTAATTACACATATTCCGCAGCGCTGATATCTTGATATGTCCTCTTCCAGTGTCTGCACGATGTAACAGGAACGGGTTAAATAATTCTACCTAGTATTCACATAATTTACGAGCTGTGTTATTGGATAACGTGTCTCATGGTGATCTTTGCTTTCTCTCCTAGTGACCTGAATCACAGCACTCAGTATGTTCAGGGTCTGGCACTCTGCACATTGGGGTGCATGGGGTCTTCTGAGATGTGCAGAGATCTGGCGGGAGAAGTGGAGAAACTCCTGAAAACATCTAATTCTTACCTTAGGAAAAAGGTATCTATAGATATTGTGTAGAGAAGAGCATATGATGCTCCTCTAATTGCAAGACCACACACAAAACAAAGACAGGAGAGAATTTGTTAAATAGAGCAGCAGTGTTCAATCTAATAAGAGTGTAGATTTTGTGATGATAAGATATTTACTTTTACGGTGCAAAAACATCTGCCTGATCGTAATGGAATTGTAGTGTTTCTAGTTGGGAATCAAGGTGTATGAATGAATGTACCGGAATGCTCTTCAGTTGGTTGCATCGTATGCACGTGCACAGGAAATGCCTTTGGTTCATTTAGGTAATGATCACTAATAAACATTCCTGATTCAAGGTGCTTATAGTTAAAGGAACTCTCTGGACCCCAAAAGCCCTTTAAGCTGCTAGACTGCTTTATATGTTAAGTATATATTCTTTGAACTTTTTTCCTTCATATTTTACAAAAAGTGCAGGTTTTATTAGAATTTAGCACAGTTATAAGTTAACCTTGTTACACCCCTCTGCCTGTCCGACAACAGGTCCTGTTACTTCCTGGTTTGGTTAGCTCAGTGGAGCTAAACTCGAGAGGCAGCAATTAGGAAGTCTGTGACTTAAATCTGAGCGGGATTAGAAGGGGAGGGATTCCGAAGGCTGCAGACACGAGATCTGCAGCTTCTATTAGAGGTTTTTAGATTACATGCTTATATGTTCTCACTGGAGATATATACACACACACGGTGATCCATTTATGAAATGGTCTCTTTACCATTGAATTTGAAGTGGCTAAGAAAGCACTGTGATGCATGATTTTTGAATTGAATATTTTAATAGGACTGGAAAAGGTGGGGCTACTCTTAAAGAGTGATTTGAAATGTTGGGGTTCAGCCCAGACTAACATCACTTTACTTGCAGTTTGTAGATGTTTAGCTTTTATTTTGTATGTGCTACAGGCGGCTCTGTGTGCTGTACACGTGATCAGAAAGGTCCCAGAACTCATGGAAATGTTTCTGCCTGCTACAAAAAACCTACTCAATGAAAAAAATCATGGTAAGTGGTCTGCATTGTGCTCTGCTCTTTCTGTCCCACTTGTGATATGAGTAGTGTTACACTGTGATATGTGGTGAGAATTGTGGTATGATATGTAACAATCTCTCGTTGTCGTGCAGGCGTGCTTCATACTTCAGTTGTCCTCCTGACCGAGATGTGTGAGAGGAGCCCAGACATGCTTACACATTTTAGGAAGGTAGGTGTCTAATTGCAGTGTTAGGATGTGGCCGGTAATGTGTACGATTCTCCTCTCTCCTTCCTGTTCTAAGTGGATGTCTGTACCTGCTGTGTCCATGCATGCTGTCCACTCTTTCTATAGTCTATGCCACAGACAAAGACACAGCTTGTGGCTTGTTTAGTAACTGGCTGATTTTTGTAGTCAGCCTGGGTATGTGCACTTACTTGACAATTGGTTCCTCTGCTACTTAAAGAGTTAATGATGTAAACACCGTCCTAGTTCCTTCAGGGGAACTATGCATTTGTTTTTTTGTTTCTGCTGGTTTTTATTTTGATATGACTAACAAAATCTCGCCATCCCAAGATGAGATTAGTTGAATTAAATATACTGTGGATATGAGGTAACCTTTAGGTAGCACACCGGCTGTGATGGAACTACATAACCCATGATGCTCAACAACTATAAGCAATGAGCCATAAGCTTATCAGAGCCTCATGGTAGTCAGAGTTGTTCCTTAGAGCTCTATGTTGGCCTAAAGCATGAAGTTTGATTATCTGATTGATATGTACTTGCAGTCCTACTCATAACTCCTGTCTGTCCGGACTATTTCCTCTGATTTATACTATAGTGATTGATGAGCTGTCTGTATGAGCGTAATCCTTCTTCCACAGATATCAGATGTTTGGCAATTAGATTCCCCATAATGCACAGCCAGCTTCAGAGTTTTGCTGTGACTGTATGGCGGTTTCTGAAACCGTTCACCCTGCTCGCTATTGCAGTTTAGTATAGCCTTAATGATGCAATGCATACTCTCACCGGGGTTGTTTTATTTTTTTATTTTTATTTTTTGCCTAGGATGGTTTAAGTGTTTAGGTCTTGGGGGGGTGTTCTGTGTGCAAAACAAAGCTTCTTTTTTCGGGAGCTCTGTTGGTTGTTTAATCTCAGATCAGCATAATGTGTGCTGTTTCAAACCGCGTGCCTAACGCCTGCTTCCTGTCTTTTATTCTGTCTGCTTGGGATCCGTCTCAATGTTAGAATGAGAAGGTAAGATAATTGGTTCTCCTTTTGTATTTTCCCACATACTTTCTGTCCTTAGATAACAGGCTGGTTATATATAAACCTTTCATAGCCACGGCTTATTTACACTGCTGGACACAAACAATTCTGACACTTTATCTCTTTGTTTAAATGTCATTTCCTTTTTATTTTCTTATTTCACCCATGCATGCTTCTATTCTGTTTTCAAACACAGTTAAGGCTATTTAATACCGAAAGCCCACATATTGGTCTTAATATAAAGCTGAATAATATATGCAAAGTTTTTTATATTTTTTTGTGTAATACAGTTTTCCAGTGTTTAAAAATGCACTGTATTTAAGACGGCCCTCCACTCACATTATCAGACTAGTTTCCTTGTGTAAGTTCTGGTACAAGAAACTCCCCCTACCCATTTTATCAAAGCTGCATGAACGATACTTCTCTTATTATGCTAGGTCGATGTATTCATGAAAACAAACAATAGAAGCAGACTGCACTTGGTTTAGCTTGCCAAGTAGTTTCATTCATGTCATTTTGTGAATGAAGGTAGCAGAAAATGCTGTATTCTATCTATATGAATCCCTACTTTGCAAAGATTTATGGGATCTATATACATTGACCCCTACTTTGCAGAGATTAATGGGATCTATATACATTGACCCCTACTTGGCAGAGATTAATGGGATCTATATACATGAACCCCCGCTTGGCAGAGATTAATGGGATCTATATACATTGACCCCTACTTGGCAGAGATTAATTGGATCTATATACATTGACCCCCACTTGGCAGAGATTAATGGGATCTATATACATTGACCCCCGCTTGGCAGAGATTAATGGGATCTATATACATTGACCCCCACTTGGCAGAGATTAATGGGATCTATATACATTGACCCCCGGCAGAGATTGGGATCTATATACATTGACCCCCGCTTGGCAGAGATTAATGGGATCTATATACATTGACCCCTACTTGGCAGAGATTAATGGGATCTATATACATTGACCCCTACTTTGCAGAGATTAATGGGATCTATATACATGAACCCCCACTTGGCAGAGATTAATGGGATCTATATACATTGACCCCTACTTGGCAGAGATTAATTCTATATACATTGGATCTATATACATTGACCCCCACTTGGCAGAGATTAATGGGATCTATATACATTGACCCCTACTTGGCAGAGATTAATTGGATCTATATACATTGACCCCCACTTGGTAGAGATTAATGGGATCTATATACATTGACCCCCGCTTGGCAGAGATTAATGGGATCTATATACATTGACCCCTACTTGGCAGAGATTAATGGGATCTATATACATTGACCCCCGCTTGGCAGAGATTAATGGGATCTATATACATTGACCCCCTAGAGATTTATGGGATCTATATACATTGACCCCTACTTGCAGAGATTAATGGGATCTATATACATTTGGCAGAGATTAATGGGATCTATATACATTGACCCCTACTTGGCAGAGATTAATGGGATCTATATACATTGACCCCCACTTGGCAGAGATTAATGGGATCTATATACATTGACCCCTACTTGGCAGAGATTAATGGGATCTATATACATTGACCCCCACTCTATATACATTGACCCCCGCTTGGCAGAGATTAATGGGATCTATATACATTGACCCCTACTTGGCAGAGATTAATGGGATCTATATACATTGACCCCGCTTGGTAGAGATTAATGGGATCTATATACATTGACCCCCGCTTGGCAGAGATTAATGGGATCTATATACATTGACCCCCGCTTGGCAGAGATTAATGGGATCTATATACATTGACCCCTACTTGGCAGAGATTAATGGGATCTATATACATTGACCCCGCTTGGCAGAGATTTATGGGATCTATATACATTGACCCCCGCTTGGCAGAGATTAATGGGATCTATATACATTGACCCCCGATGGCAGAGATTAATGGGATCTATATACATTGACCCCTGCTTGGCAGAGATTTATGGGATCTATGTACATTGACCCCTACTTGGCAGAGATTTATGGGATCTATATACATTGACCCCCGCTTGACAGAGATTTATGGGATCTATATACATTGACCCCCGCTTGGCAGAGATTAATGGGGTCTTTATACATTGATCCCCTGCTTGGCAGAGATTAATGGGATCTATATACATTGACCCCTACTTGGCAGTGTTTAATGGGATCTATATACATTGACCCCCGCTTGGCAGAGATTAATGGGATCTATATACATTGACCCCGCTTGGCAGAGATTAATGGGATCTATATACATTGACCCCCGCTTGGCAGAGATTAATGGGATCTATATACATTGACCCCGCTTTGCAGAGATTTATGGGATCTATATACATTGACCCCCGCTTGACAGAGATTTATGGGATCTATATACATTGACCCCCGCTTGGCAGAGATTTATGGGATCTATATTCATTGACCCCCGCTTGGCAGAGATTAATGGGATCTATATACATTGACCCCCGCTTGGCAGAGATTAATGGGATCTATATACATTGACCCCGCTTGGCAGAGATTAATGGGATCTATATACATTGACCCCCGCTTGGCAGAGATTAATGGGATCTATATACATTGACCCCGCTTTGCAGAGATTTATGGGATCTATATACATTGACCCCCGCTTGACAGAGATTTATGGGATCTATATACATTGACCCCCGCTTGGCAGAGATTTATGGGATCTATATTCATTGACCCCCACTTGGCAGAGATTTATGGGATCTATATACATTGACCCCCGCTTGGCAGAGATTTATGGGATCTATATACATTGACCCCGACTTGGCAGAGATTAATGGGATCTATATACATTGACCCCCGCTTGGCAGAGATTAATGGGATCTATATACATTGACCCCTACTTGGCAGAGATTTATGGGATCTATATACATTGACCCCCGCTTGGCAGAGATTTATGGGATCTATATTCATTGACCCCCACTTGGCAGAGATTTATGGGATCTATATACATTGACCCCCGCTTGGCAGAGATTTATGGGATTTCCCTAGCAGCCTTGAGATGTTTGATGTGCAAGGACTAGAAACAATCTGGGATGTGACATCACTCATGAAAGGGTTAAAGTACAAAGCTGGGATAAAATTCCAAAAGTAACGCAATTTACAGTTCCCACTGTATAGAAAAAATATATATTTCATGGAGTCTGTAAAATATTGTTTTCTTTACTCTTTAATCCACCCTTTAGAACTGTCAGACATTTCTTGCACACTATTTAAATAGACACCTTTTCTAAACACGATTGACTGCATCTCTGGCCTTTTGTGATGTTTGGTGTATTGTGGTTTGGTGATTGTAATTTGTGTTGTTGTTTTGGAATGTGGACATTAGGCTGTGTTCATGCTATATCTCTTCCAGCCCTGAGGAGTTAGCCATCTGTGTTGTGATATCTCTTAACCCTCTGCTCTCATTACAGCTCGTCCCACAGCTAGTTCGTATTTTAAAAAATCTCATCATGTCCGGTTATTCCCCCGAGCACGATGTATCTGGGATCAGTGACCCCTTCTTACAGGTATGTGACCTAGACATAACTGCACACCATGTAACATAACATATATAATATTTATGAATGGTAGTCTGGTCATTGTCAAGTCTACTGAATGAAAACTGTACACTAGTCCTACATGAATGGTGTGTGGTATAGTGCAGAGTATAGCAGCAAATGGACGAATGAAGGTATTGGGTGATTAATGATTATTGTTCTATACCAGCGGTTCCCAAACTGTTCCCTGACGTGCACACAGTGGTGCCGCGTAAAGTTTCCCCGGTGCTATGATTATAGCATAGGGAAAACATTACTACTGAACAGGGACTGATCCTTTAAGACCGCAACTGGGCACCTGTGATGGCAGTCTGGGAGGAAGTGACAGCCTGTCACTTCCTCGCAGCATCCTGCAAGGAGACAGCGTGGGATGGAGAGGAGGCAACCGCAGCGTGAGTGGAGAGGAGCATGAATAGCTCCAGACCCCTCACTCCCACCAGCTGGAGGGAACAGGAGGGGGTGGCTGGAGATATATATATATATATATATATATATATATATATATATATATATTTTTTTTTTTTTAATCACGTGTGTATATTATATATGTATATTATTTAAATATATGTCAGTGTGCTTCTTTGTCTGCGCACACATCTGTGTATGTGCATCTGTGTTATGGTGTGGGCATGTATCAATGGCTGTGTGTGTCAGGGTGCATGTGTGTGTATGTCGGTGTGTATTTATGTGCATGAATATCTGTGTATCTATGTGTGTATGTGCATACATCCAAGCAGTCAAACAGCACAACATCCAAGCACACTCCATCACTCAAATCACAAATAAGTGAACATTCAAACACACAACTGCAATCAAACGCAAACATTCAATACAAACACACCCCTGTATTAAAACACAATAACTATATACAAGCACCCCTTCAAACACCAACACTGTACATTACACTATAGCGCCAGTAAATACCGCAGCGCTGTACAGATATACAACCTAGAAATTTTGACTTGGGGTGCCTTGGAAAATTACTGATATATCAAGGGTGCCTTGAACCTAAAAAGTTTGGGAACCACTGTTCTATACAATAACGATCCATGTGTTTTGTCACTATAGTACGTATCAAGAAACTGACATCACCCATACTGGTTTTGTAAGAGAAGTTCCCTGTTTGCTAGTGTTTCCAGTCTGTGTAGCAATTGTCACATTAGTTGCTGTATAGGTGATCCACAGAGCTGGCTTCTTTTACTTTGGTACATCTTCTACTGGATATTTATATATATATATATATATATATATTTTTTTTTTTTTCTTCCAGGTTCGTATACTAAGGCTTCTCCGGATTTTGGGTAGAAATGATGACGACTCAAGTGAAGCCATGAATGATATTTTGGCACAGGTGAGTGGGCAGCAGCACCTGTATCTTGTGTGCTATACGGTATGGAGCATTTGCTGTTGCTGTAAGCGAGTGATCTGTGTCTGCCATACTAGCAAAGCTGATGTACATGAGATCCATGTTTATTAATAAGGCAGCTGGAAGCATATGGGATCTTGTATAGTAGAGCAGGCATCTGACTGGGTTCTAGCAGTAAACATGGAGTTACAACATCCAGGTGTTTGAGGTAGATCAAGGTGGCCGGTACCTATTGCTGGTCTGTAAAAGTATTTTGTGGGTGAAGAGTGAGGGTTGGCAAGCATTCTACCATAAGCTCTATGATAATATCAATAAAATACCCCTTTTAGGTTGCAACCAATACTGAAACCAGTAAAAATGTCGGCAACGCTATTCTATATGAAACTGTTCTAACGATTATGGATATAAAATCAGAAAGTGGACTCCGGGTAAGAATCCATTGCATCCTTTCCTTGTGGGTTCTACCGTCTTTCTAACCCTCTTTATTTTTGCATCCACACCTCTCTCGTCTTGTACTTTACAACCCCCTGTCCAGTTGCTTAAACTCACCTTCTGGACACACCATACCATTTTATTTTTTTATCTGCTCCCCTTTCTCCTATCCATCTGTTCTTTTCCTCTGTGGCTATGCAATGTTCATTTTATCCTTGCTTCCTAACCTGTATGGCTTGTTTTTAATATAATTCTTGTCTGCAGGTTTTGGCTATTAATATTCTAGGAAGATTCTTATTAAATAATGACAAGAATATTCGGTGAGTACTTGCTGTGTGAATATACACTGCTCGGAGTGTGAGATCTCAGGCTATGCTGTGCCCATGTGCCTGGGTTATCTACTTTCTGTATCTATTCCAGATATGTCGCTCTGACGTCCCTGTTAAAGACCGTACAGACTGACCACAATGCAGTGCAGAGACACCGCAGCACTATAGTGGATTGCCTGAAAGACTTGGATGTGTCCATTAAACGGTGAGAGAATAGCTTGTCTGTAGTGTGTTTATTCCTATTTTCTTTAAAATAACAGAATCCTCATTATTGGTTTATTTCCTAGCTCCTCTTGTACCATCCATTCATTCCTTATTGTTAGTCAATTCACTTAATTAAGGGTAAAGTGAGGGTAACAGACAAGGGAATTGAACATCTCAGGTCAAAATAGCAGATTAGAGAAATATTCAACACTTTCGTTTTCACCTCACATTTGCCTTCCTTGTAAATTTCCAAAAGTTCCTAGTTTTAGTAAATACTCCTCATTGTATTTCTTTTATGTCAGTTCCGTTTATCCACTGCTGGGCATTTTATCAGCAATGCTTTGTCTACTTTTCTGAGTTTGTCACATCCATACACATATTTACAAGTAATGGCTGCCCGGTGACACGGTTCTCGTTTCCTACCAACCCCATCATGTGTGTCAGTACATTGTCTATGGTCCCACCAGGCTCCTCCGTCACACTGAGTCCTGATCAGGGAGCCACCCCGGTGCTGCAGGGTCTGTTAGAGGTCGTAGTCTCCTCCTGACTATCCTGTAGACTTGCGCAAAAAATGTGTTTGTCACTTTGTCTGAAATCAAAATCCTTTTTAAACCATAACTAAACAAGTGGATCGGATGGTCTAGGTTTTACCTGTTGAGCTCTAGTCATTGAAAAAGACTCCACAAGTAAATCCCAGATGAATCGATTCACTCAGGTTTGAACTCTAAGGATTTTGATTTGGATGCACTGGTCAAAACAAATATTTACACAAGTCTACCATCCAGGTGCCAGCTCTGAAGGAGATAAAGCAGGGCTTCTTGATATGTGTAACACAAACAGCTGGTGGTGGATGGCTGACTGTAAGTACCATTCTCAGTGAGTTAATCTGTCCGTGTGTACAGCCCTGGTTCACTCGGAGTCATGTTAGTAGGTGGCAGAATGAAGGTGTTGGGGATGTTGAATGATGATTACTAAGTGATCCATCGGCAGAGTCTTGTGGCTATGCTGAGATTCAGAAACCTGACAACGCCCACACCGGACCTGTAACAGTCCATACTATTCTGTGAATGCGCTCTGTCCATATGCCCATTATTCCATTTACCGTCCTAGGCGAGCCATGGAGCTGAGCTTTGCTTTGGTGAATGGAAACAATATCCGCGGAATGATGAAAGAACTACTGTATTTCCTGGACTCCTGCGAGCCAGAGTTTAAAGCAGACTGTGCCTCCGGTATCTTTTTAGCTGCTGAAAAGTAAGTATTTTGTGTGATCACAGCCCAGCAAGCTACTGTTTCATTACCAAATGCTACACTGCTGCTCAGTAACCATTTAATTACATCACTTCATGCTAGGGGAGCAGGTATTGGGCTGCACAGTGCCTGATTCTCCAAAAGTTAAAATGTACTGTAGAAATTTTGCTGCCTGCTGTGGTTATAAGATGATATTTTAATTGTCCCTGCCACGGAACGGATTGTGCGATCAGCAGATAGAGCTCTCTAATCTCCTTTTCCTTCCTGCATCAGTTACAGACATTTAGCAGCAAGCTTGATAAGCAGTCAGTCAGGGGAATTCTGGCAAACCGCTGATTGTCGTTAATGTAATATAGTGACCGTGTGTGCACTTGGTTTATGTAAAGGCGGTTTATTTTGTAGGCAGTGGATTCAATCTAACTCTCGAGGAGCCTCGTGCCCCATAGGTTAATTATTGCATTGTGAGTGTTAAAGGGTTGGATAACGTCTTCCTTGTTTCCTTTCTTGCAGATACGCTCCTTCAAAGCGATGGCATATAGACACGATCATGCGGGTTCTTACCACAGTACGTTTCTTAGAATAATTTCTACTCAATCAATGATGTCTTATCTCCTGGTCTGTTCTCCCCCTTTCTTATCTCCTGGTCTGTTCTCCCCCTTTCTTATCTCCTGGCTGTTCTGTTCTCCCCCTTTCTTATCGCCTGGTCTGTTCTCCCCCTTTCTTATCTCCTGGCCTCTTCTCTCCCCTTTCTTATCTCTGGCCTCTTCTCTGCTTTCTGCCATCTGGCCTCTTCCCCCCCCCTTTCTTATCTCCTGGCCTCTTCTCCCCCCCCCTTTCTTATCTCCTGGCCTCTTCTTCCTTTCTTATCTCTGGCCTCTTCTCCCCCCCCTTTTCTTATCTCCTGGCTTCTTCTCCCTCCCCTTTCTTATCTCCTGGCCTCTTCTCAGCCCCACCCCCTTTCTTATTTCCTGGCCTCTTCTCCCTCCCCTTTCTTATCTCCTGGCCTATTCTCCCCCCCCCCCCTTTCCTCCCCCTTTCTTATCTCCTGGCCTATTCTCCCTCCCCCTTCTCTGAGTCTCTTATTTTGTTCTTTGCCTTCTTCTTCTGTGTGTAGCTCGCACTTTGTCCACTTTTCCTCTGACTTGACCTAATTGGTTTTATCTCCAGCCATTCTTTATTTCCTCTGTTTATTTATTTTTATTTGTTTAGGCTGGAAGTTATGTACGAGACGATGCAGTCCCTAATCTTATTCAGCTCATCACCAATAGCTCAGAGATGCACGAATACACAGTACAGAAGCTCTATAAGGCGATTGTAGATGACATCTCTCAGGTATGCTGCGTTTTTATGCACGGTAAAGCTGACAAAGCAGGTTCTTGTGCTTCATTTCACACAGTACCAACAAATGCCACAAGGTGGTGCCGTTGCTATTCATTGTATTTCAAGCTTCCTGGATTCCTTGTTTGAGCTATTTTGCGTGTTTTCTTTAGCAACCGTTGGTGCAGGTGTGCTCCTGGTGTATAGGAGAGTATGGAGACTTGCTGGTTTCAGGCCATTGTGAGGAAGAGGAGCCAATTCAGGTAACACATATCACATAGGAGGGCAATTTCTGTTAAGGTGGTTCTCAGGTGTCTCATTGAGATTCTGTGTTAAACTCAGGTCACAGAAGATGAAGTTCTGGATCTTTTGGAGAGCGTTCTGATTTCCAACATGTCCTCCTCTGTTACCCGTGGCTTTGCCCTGACAGCCATCATGAAAAACTCCACCAGGTTCAGCAACACTATTAAGTAGGTACCACTAATGACATGGATCTAATATAAGGGAGGATAGCTAGACAGGCAGGGCTATGTACTAAAGGGAGAGTTCAAAGTAGCCAAACTGGAAGTATAGCAGCCTTGGAGAATGATTCCTGTTCAGCTATTTGTACCTTAAATTTTATAGTCACTCGGAATTCACTTTGTATCCTCACTTTAGAGAATAACTTTTAGGATATTGTGTATCTTGACTGTTATATGGTGGGTAGATATTGCACTAAAACGCCAAGGGTTGAGATTTTCTCTAGAAACTGCCATAGAATGGGAAGGGTTGAGGATTGCGCCTTCACACTGCCGTAGAATGGGAGGGGTTGATGATTGCGCCTACACACTGCCGTAGAATGGGAGGGGTTGAGGATTGCGCATACACGCTGCCGCAGAATGGGAAGGGTTGATGATTGCGCCTACACACTGCTGTAGAATGGGAGGGGTTGATGATTGCGCATACACACTGCCGTAGAATGGGAAGGGTTGATGATTGCGCCTACACACTGCTGTAGAATGGGAGGGGTTGATGATTGCGCCTACACACTGCCGTAGAATGGGAGGGGTTGATGATTGCGCCTACACACTGCCGTAGAATGGGAGGGGTTGATGATTGCGCCTACACACTGCCGTAGAATGGGAGGGGTTGAGGATTGCGCCTAGAGGCTGCCGTAGAATGGGAGGGGTTGAGGATTGCGCCTAGAGGCTGCCATAGAATGGGAGGGGTTGAGGATTGCGCCTACACACTGCCGTAGAATGGGAGGGGTTGAGATTGCGCATACACGCTGCCGCAGAATGGGAAGGGTTGATGATTGCGCCTACACACTGCTGTAGAATGGGAGGGGTTGATGATTGCGCATACACACTGCCGTAGAATGGGAAGGGTTGATGATTGCGCCTACACACTGCTGTAGAATGGGAGGGGTTGATGATTGCGCCTACACACTGCCGTAGAATGGGAGGGGTTGATGATTGCGCCTACACACTGCCGTAGAATGGGAGGGGTTGATGATTGCGCCTACACAATGCCGTAGAATGGGAGGGGTTGAGGATTGCGCCTAGAGGCTGCCGTAGAATGGGAGGGGTTGAGGATTGCGCCTAGAGGCTGCCATTGAATCGGAGGGGTTGAGGATTGCGCCTACACACTGCCGTAGAATGGGAGGGGTTGAGGATTGCACCTACACACTGCAGTAGAATGGGGAGAGTGGAGGTTTGCGCCTAGAGGCTGCCATTGAATGGTAGGGGTTAAGGATTGCGCCTACACACTGCCGTAGAATGGGAGGGGTTGAGGATTGCGCCTACACATTTCAGTAGAATGGGGAGAGTGGAGGTTTGCGCCTAGAGGCTGCCATTGAATGGGAGGTTTGAACTGTGTTGTTATGCCTTGACTACTGAATTAATATTGTAGTCTGATCATTGTGTTTTACTGTTTATTTCCTGTAGTCGCATCAAGAAGGTGGTTTCCATTTATGGCAGCAGCATTGATGTTGAGCTGCAGCAGAGGGCCGTGGAATATAATGCTTTGTTCAAGAAGTATGACCACATGAGGTAAGGATGGATATCAGCCAGGCTACAGCTTCTGTCCCTGTCTGTCACTTTCCATTTTTGGAGATCAAAGTTATCATTGCCTCTCTGTAGGCCTGCTCTTCTGGAAAGAATGCCCATCATGGAAAAGACAATATCAAATGGACCAACAGATTTGGCTCAAACTAATGGAGAGACTGAACTTGCAATAACCGAAACCAAACCACTCCCAGCCAGCAACCCACCAGTGAGCCAGGTATGCAGCAGACCCCTTGCCCAGTTTTTCCTGTGCAGAAGACATTTTTTTTTTAAATCACCTTTAAACACTTTCCCCCCCTTCAATAGGCCAATGATTTATTAGATCTATTAGGAGGAAACGACATTCAGCTGGTAATACCCACGGCACCTCCTCCCAAGCAGTCATCGGTAGGAGGGGAGCTTCTAGATCTTCTTGGAGACCTAAACCTTGGTGGTGAGTGCTGCGGTGGGATTCTGTATGAGATTTACCAGTGGAGGGTAGACTTTGTTTTAAGAATTGGTTCCTTTACTGGTGGGTTTTCATGCTGTTTCATGGGTTCTCCAATGATTGGAACTGGTGCAGCATACTTATTGGTCCACAAAGAGCTGCACACAGTGTGTGAGTTACTAGAACAGATTGGATCTGTATTTACCAGATTTTTCTATTTGATTTTACAATTGAAGTATGAGTCATGGAACTGGGGTTACAATTTAAGAATTGAGTTGTTAACCTAATACTATTTATATAATTTTACTTTTTGGTTAATGAGTTCCTTCTTGTAATAATTCAGGAATTCCAGCTCCTGTTCCACAGATGCCTGCCCCACAGCTGCTGCTGGATGGACTCTCAACGCAGCCTCTCTTCAATGATATTTCAGGTTAGTTTGTCTCTCACAAGTTACATATTCTTGAATATTAAAGGATTACTCGAAGCACCGTGACCTGTTCAGTGTCTTGAAGTGGTCATGGTGCTTGGAGTCTGTATGTTGAGTGAATAACCCTGTCAATGTCCTGCGCTCTTTGCAGGGGCCTCTATCTGGAATTATTTTCGTGTCAGGACAAGCAGATCGGGCTACTTCTTTAGTCCTTTGGACAAGTAGATTTATTTTTAATTTTGTAAAATTCAATTAAAAAATGCAAAATAAGGCAGAATAAACTAAAGGGATCCCAACATTAATCCGCTGTAACTAATACCATATATATTCACCCCCAAACTAAAGCTCAATGTGGAAATGTTTTTAATTTTTCTAGTTGCAGTTATTCCACCCATCACTGCATATAACAAGAATGGCCTGAAAATCGAATTCACATTTGAAAGATCCAGCACAAATGCCAGTGTGACGGTGATTACAACGCAAGCATCCAACAGCACAGACAGTGATATGACCGACTTTGTGTTTCAGGCGGCAGTACCAAAGGTATTCCGTGTGAGGCGGGTTGGTTATCTAGCAGAGAGACTAATGGTTTTTTTCCCCAGAGACACACACAGCATTTAGGCATGATATATGTGAGTTTCTCTCTGGAATAGCACCTTTATGGGGAACCTCTACTGGATTTAGACTTTTGCTTTTGGTTAAAGGGACACTATAGTCACCTGAACAACTTTAGCTTAATGAAGCAGTTTTGGTGTATAGAACATGCCCCTGCAGCCTCACTGCTCAATCCTCTACCATTTAGCAGTTAAATCCCTTTGTTTATGAACCCTAGTCACACCTCCCTGCATGTGACTTGCACAGCCTTCCATAAACACTTCCTGTAAAGAGAGCCCTATTTTGGCTTTCTTTATTGCAAGTTCTGTTTAATTAAGATTTTCTTATCCTCTGCTATGTTAATAGCTTGCTAGACTCTGCAAGAGCCTCCTGTATGTGATTTAAAGTTCAATTTAGAGATTGAGATACAATTATTTAAGGTAAATTACATCTGATTGAAAGTGAAACCAGTTTTTTTTTCATGCAGGCTCTGTCAATCATAGCCAGGGGAGGTGTGGCAAATTGCAGGGTAATGATCTATACACTAAAACTGTTTTATTTAGCTAAAGTAATTTAGGTGACTATAGTGTTCCTTTAAACCTGCAACAATTCCTAAATCTTTTCTTTTTTTTTTTTGCCCGCCAGACGTTCCAGCTACAGCTCCTCTCCCCAAGCAGTAATGTCCTTCCGGCTTTCAATGCTGGCAGTGTAACACAGGTCATTAAGGTTCTCAACCCCCAGAAAGTAAGTACCATCTTCCCTTTAGAGTACGTTGATCTACCTTCATGTGTCTGTCCCCTGCTGCTCCTTCTTTTAGGGATGCTATATTCCCATGTGCACACGTTATTTATACTAGCTCAGGGGCAGTATCTAGAAAGTGCTGTCCTGTAAGTCAAATGCTGTAGGCAGTAAATTAATGAATCATGCAGCATTAAATTGTGTCTAGAAAAACATGATGGGAATGGCATCCTTGCCTAATGAGCACAATGATCCCCTCTCCTGCCCTGCTGTATGCCGAGCGCGACACTCCCCTCTCCTGCCCTGCTGAATGCCGTGCGCCTTGCTCCCTTCTCAATCACCTAAAGGATGAGTTTGTTGCCTCCTTCTTCTGCTCCTGCCGGCTGATATGTCGTTTCTCTCCTGGCAGGCTGCGTGCTGTATATCCTCTTCCCTTTTCTGTTGTACTCATTCTGTTTGTGTTTTGTCTGTTTCTGCAGCAACAGCTGCGCATGCGGATCAAGCTGACCTATAATCATAAGGGCTCAGCCATGCAGGATCTCGCTGAAGTAAGCAACTTTCCCCCTCAGTCCTGGCAATAAGACAGAGCTATGTCCATATTCTCCCCCCCACCCAAGATGAAGGAACTCTGGGCTGGAGCCTCTGCCCCTGGATTGGCAAGGATTGCACTTTTTGGGCCATGGGGTAGCAGAGAAGAATTGAGGGACATTCTGCAGCTGAACGAAGCAATGAGCGCAAGGTGAGGACATTGCTGCTCTTACTCCTCCAACTCAGGAAGGAGCAGCCTGACCTCTCCCGACCCTCACCTCTCCCAGCGGGAGATGGAGTTGATTTTCCCTGAATGGCTGTCCTGGAATTTTGTGTTCTTACCCTCCCCATCTCACTCTGTACATTCCCGCCTCCATGGTTCCACTCACCCCTAACGCCCTCCAGGCTCTTTATCCTGCGCTCTCTTCAATGGAGAGTTACGTTTTGTTTTTAAAATGTGGTTTGATAAAATGCTGTGCCTGGGGATGCTTGCTATTCCATCGCTGCCTTCCCTCCGAACCCCCCGTTTGCCTGTATTTCCTCTCTCTACTGGATTCAAACTTGATTAGAATTGAGCTCTGACGCCTTCCAGACCCGTGCTAATGTTACTGTAAAGCCCAGCTCCCATGTCATGGTAAGCAGGTGCAGTCTCTGAGTAGGGCAGGGGTTACTTCATGCCTCGGCTGTCTATGGTGATGAGCTGTGTAGAGGGGAACTATGCCTAACATAGACTGGTTTAACGGTTAAGAGATGGTAGAAATATATGTGAAATATTAAGGAGCCACAGCATTCCTGAAGAGCAGACATACCTCAGCATTTATGGATTTTCTCTCCTGCTGGATAATGCGGTAGTGTTTTTTGTTTGTTTAAGGGTACTGAGATGATAATCAGGATCTTAGAGAGATGTTAAACAAAACAGATCTGAAGTTCTCTGTAAGTGCAGTATCTGACCTTCTAGATATCAAACTATTGTAATTAGTTGCAGCTGCTAACGGACTCTAAATCAATTGATTCCACTAGACAATCTGTGCCTGGTAGTGATGGTGGCAAGGCATTGCATGTCCATTTAATATTAACTTGTCAATGGTGGCGCACATGAGACTGCATCTCCCAGTGTGGGCCAGTCGAGAGGCATACTACCCTCCCCATCTGCTGAGAACCCAGGATGGATTTGTACAGCTTCCAGCAGGGATACGGGTGGACATGATCTTTCCTCTTGTTGAGATGAGAACTTGTTCCCTCTGTTCAGAACAAATAGACAGGGCCCCAGGTGCTGCTGTGCTATGCTCTCCTCTCCAGCAGCAGGCCCTGGTTGAAGGCGTTCTCTCACTGGCTAGGCCAGCATTTGATGATACACCTGTTGGTACTCTGTGTTTTTACTTTGTGTTTGGGGCATTCTTCTGCCTCCCCGTTCCTGTAATGTCTTTTCCTTTTTGCTGTTCTAGCAAGTTACAATTCTCTGAACACCCACCTGGTCGCCTCCTTAAAGGAACATTCAGATTCCATCTGTGAGTGGGGTGGATAACGAACTGCTAATTACTGCAGGCTTATTTTTGAGATGTAAAAGCAAACTTGTAAAAATAAAACTAAGTCTCTTTGGGGAGCATTAAGGGTGTAAACATTTTCATGGGGTACTTAGACTGATGTGTATTATCGTCTTTTGGTTGAAACAAATTATGAAAAGTGACTAATAAAGAATAAAATGAAAACCCATCACCCCCTTCTCTGGCTTTGAGTACCATCTTCAGAGAGCTTCATCCTTCATGGACTCGAATCTACATCTGACAAAACCTGACTTGTCATACAGGCCACACTTAGCAGAACATTTCCAATTCATGAGCAGCCCAGTGTCATTTTCTAAAATTGAATATACATTTATCGGATTGCTTTGATGTTAAGTCAATTTTCAAACATAGAAAAATAAATTCTACCACTGTTCTATAAATACCAATATATGACTCCTTTTGAGGGATAAGTGGCTGAATGGTGGCTCAGTGTGAACTATTCAATTAATATGACGGTAAGGTGGATTACTACGGGAAGAATGTTTCACCAGCTTGCTGCTGCCGCAGAACCTGTGTGTATTTAATAGTTTTTTTGTGAGGTTCCCTGTGCCCCACAGCAGTGGTGGTTGACTATGAATAAGAGTTGTATTCTTGTAAATAAGAGCTATATAGGAAAACTACTGTATTGCGTTTATTTGCTTAAATGGTGCTTTTTAAAAAAACAAACCAAAAAAAACCCAAAACATTTTAAACCAGGTATCTCAACCACTGGCCTCCTAGATGTTGCTGTAATACAACTCCCATGATTTTATTTTCCATACCTGTAGTTCCCAGTTTAATAAGCAAACCTATTGGTGATTCTACTGTCATTTACCAGAGACATGACCTGGGTGTTGGGTAGGTATACCTGGGAAACAACTCTGCGCTTTGGATGTTATGAGTTGTACAGGTACATGGTAGAAAGATGCAGGCAAAGGGCATCACAGATAAATAAATTGAAGAAACAAAACACTGATTCGATTACGATTATTACTGCTTCCTACAGGTATGGGCTTTTGAATTTGTACAAAATAATTGTTTCACATAATTCACCAGAATTTAGACCACCTTCACATATTAACTGTATGTATCATGGGAGATCTAGTTGTATTTATTTGTGTGCATGTATATTTTATTGAAAACAAAAAAAGCAAGGAAGTTCTTTACGGGTGAGGAGATTTTAATCCCAGTTTATAGAAGTGCTTAGGCCAGTGTGTGCACATAATTCATGCAAAGGTTCCGTTTTCTCAATGAGAACACTGGCTATTTTCCTGTGAGGAGTATGAAAGTCTCTGCTGGGAAGAAGGGAGATGGGCTCAAAAGGCAGCAATTCATAACAGGTGCAGGTTTTGCCAGCACTTTCTTATGCTTTCCCAAAGAATATATGTGTGAGAAATAATTGCATGTATTCATTGGGGAATATATACACTAAATAGTGGGTGGGTTCTCCAGAAATCCAGGCCAGCAGACAAAGGAGTAGCTAAAACCTCCAATGCTTGAAGACTTGGCTCAGTCCTTGTTAATAAGTGTGAAATGTGTGACACTCCCCCTGTCTGTCCTTCTCTGGAATGTATGACTGAATAAAGTTTATTTTTTTAAATTTTTTTTTAAAACCCTGCAGTTTTATCTTTGAAATAAATGTGGAGTTATGTGGGTGTTTTCTTTCGTAAAATTACAAGTGGATCCATCCGTGCTTTGTACTTTTTCTATATCTATCCTGAAAAGCCTGCTCTTTCTTCTTGCTGTCTCTGTGAGAGATCACAAAGGTGCAGAATTAATGAGGTTCGCATGACAACAAAAAACACAACGGCAAAACTATTCAGCAAATTTTCCATTGACTGGATTAGTTCAGCGGGTAGTATTCAATAAATCTCCTGATCCTATATTTCAGACAGAATCTTACAGCAGGTGGGACCTGTAATGAATGAGAAAACGTGGAAGCTTGAGCAATGAAACATTCCTACTAATTCTATTAGGGTCCATGTGGATTCCACCCCTTTTATTTTTATTAAAACATTGATCCACGACACTATTTTGCCTTCATCATCCACCAGGTGGACTGTTGCTCATGCATTGAGTACAATCAACTTGTTTTACTGGAGTGCCATGAAAATGGAATTTAAAGAAAAACAATGCATCTTATTTACACAGATATTTCTAAACACATTTCTTGTAGTTTAAAGACACATTACTGGGAGTATTATTACTGTGGGGCTCTGTTATACACTCAGACACATTACTGGGAGTATTATTGCTATGGAGCTCTGTTATATACTCAGACACATTACTGGGAGTATTATTGCTGTGAAGCTCTGTTATACACTCAGACACATTACTGGGAGTATTATTGCTGTGGGGCTCTGTTATACACTCAGACACATTACTGGGAGTATTATTGCTATGGAGCTCTGTTATATACTCAGACACATTACTGGGAGTATTATTGCTGTGGAGCTCTGTTATACACTCAGACACATTACTGGGAGTATTATTGCTGTGGAGCTCTGTTATACACTCAGACACATTACTGGGAGTATTATTGCTGTGGAGCTCTGTTATACACACAGACACATTACTGGGAGTATTATTGCTGTGGAGCTCTGTTATACACTCAGACACATTACTGGGAGTATTATTACTGTGGAGCTCTGTTATACACTCTGACACATTACTGGGAGTATTATTGCTGTGGAGCTCTGTTATACACTCAGACACATTACTGGGAGTATTATTGCTGTGGGGCTCTGTTATACACTCAGACACATTACTGGGAGTATTATTGCTGTGGAGCTCTGTTATACACTCAGACACATTACTGGGAGTATTATTGCTGTGGGGCTCTGTTATACACTCAGACACATTACTGGGAGTATTATTGCTGTGGAGCTCTGTTATACACGCAGACACATTACTGGGAGTATTATTACTGTGGGGCTCTGTTATACACTCAGACACATTACTGGGAGTATTATTGCTGTGGAGCTCTGTTATACACTCAGACACATTACTGGGAGTATTATTGCTGTGGAGCTCTGTTATACACTCAGACACATTACTGGAGTATTATTGCTGTGGAGCTCTGTTATACACTCAGACACATTACTGGGAGTATTATTGCTGTGGAGCTCTGTTATACACTCAGACACATTACTGGGAGTATTATTGCTGTGGAGCTCTGTTATACACTCAGACACATTACTGGGAGTATTATTGCTGTGGAGCTCTGTTATACACTCAGACACATTACTGGGAGTATTATTGCTGTGGAGCTCTGTTATACACTCAGACACATTACTGGGAGTATTATTGCTGTGGAGCTCTGTTATACACACAGACACATTACTGGGAGTATTATTGCTGTGGGGCTCTGTTATACACTCAGACACATTACTGGGAGTATTATTGCTGTGGAGCTCTGTTATACACTCAGACACATTACTTGGGAGTATTATTAGTGTGGAGCTCAGTTATGCACTCAGTCACGTTACTGGGAGTATTATTGCTGTGGAGCTCTGTTATACACTCAGACACATTACTGGGAGTATTATTAGGGTGGAGCTCTGTTATACACTCAGACACTACTGGGAGTATTATTGCTGTGGAGCTCTGTTATACACTCAGACACATTACTGGGAGTAGTATTACTGTGGAGCTCTGTTATACACTCAGACACATTACTGGGAGTATTATTACTATGGAGCTCTGTTATACACTCACATTACTGGGAGTATTATTGCTGTGGAGCTCGGTTATACACTCAGACACATTACTGGGAGTATTATTGCTGTGGAGCTCTGTTATACACTCAGACACATTACTGGGAGTATTATTACTGTGGAGCTCTGTTATACACACAGACACATTACTTGGAGTATTGTTACTGTGGGGCTCTGTTATACACTCAGTCACATTACTGGGAGTATTATTACTGTGGAGCTCTGTTATACACTCAGTCACATTACAGGGAGTATTATTGCTGTGGAGCTCTGTTATACCCTCAGACACATTACTGGGAGTATTATTACTGTGGAGCTCTGTTATACACTCAGACACATTACTGGGAGTAATATTGCTGTGGAGCTCTGTTACTGGGAGTATTATTGCTGTGGAGCTCTGTTACTGGGAGTATTATTACCATGGAGCTCTGTTACTGGGAGTATTATTACTGTGGAGCTCTGTTACTGGGAGTATTATTGCTGTGGAGCTCTGTTATACACTAAGACACATTACTGGGAGTATTATTGCTGTGGAGCTCTGTTACTGGGAGTATTATTACCATGGAGCTCTGTTACTGGGAGTATTATTGCTGTGGAGCTCTGTTACTGGGAGTATTATTGCTGTGGAGTAATAATATATGCTCTATTTTTGAGGTGCCTAAAATAAAAGTTTCCATGATTGATTTTCCCTATTTAGTTAGGCTATGCAGTTGGCTGGGGATAGTTGGAATTGTAGTCCACACATGACTTCCATCCTCACACCTGCCCTGAGTGGGAGGTGGAAGCTCACTGCCAGTAACAAAGATGGCCGCCGTGGATGCGCTCACTGTAGGCGGAGGCGATTGTCATTGGCTGGGCCATGTGTGTGTGTGAGGCTGCGCTGTGATTGGCTGACTCGGTCAGGCTGTCACCTGCTCCTGGGCGGGGCCTGCCGGGATTGGCCGGGCTGCTGTCACTGTCATTCGGTCTGTGAGGATGGACGGACACACACCGGGGCAGCCGGGGGAGGGAGGGCCTGAGCCACCGCCACCCAGGGCAGCCGGGATCCGGGTACTCAAGGTCAGCTCCATGGGGAGTGAGGGGCCCTGGGCACGGTGGGGGCAGTGAGGGGGCCCCTGGGCACGGTGGGGGCAGTGAGGGGGGCCCTGGGCACGGTGGGGGGCAGTGAGGGGCCCCACGGTGGGGGCAGTGTGAGGGGCCCTGGGCACGGTGGGAGCGGTGAGGGTGGCCCTGGGCACGGTGGGGGCGGTGAGGGTGGCCCTGGGTACGGTGGGGGCAGTGTGAGGGGCCCTGGGCACGGTGGG